AGATATTGCCAAAGTTAATTTCTTTAATAGAAATAAATGAAAATGGCACTGAAAGATGATTTTCTACTGGCCTCTAGGGCAAATCCGTCCCTGATATAATTACGCTTGGTAAATCAGGAATTAATTTAGCTCTGTGCCTTTACTCCCAAAATGCCTTTACTCCAGTTGGCCTGGAAAAAGATTTCTGCTAAGGTTTTGAATAACAAGGGCTTTGCAACTGGTTCCCTGCACCATTGCAAAGAGAGTTTGGGGCACGCTTTTAACCGTTTGAAAAAACGTGTGCTGATAACCAAAATGCTGTCAAGTACTTTTTGTACTGCTTTGTGTCTTGTAAAAAGAATAATAAAGCCCACAAAGCCATTTGAATGGTGGTCAACCTTACCAGTTGGTTTAAGAGCTCACCAGGCTGGGAGAATCAGACAATTCAGAATAAATCAGCATAACTTTTTATTTCCCTCCTTGCTTAGCGAGTGTGCTGACTTACCTTCTTTCCCTGGAGGACTGTGTTGACCTGTGTGTTTTTGGAGTGAGACAGTAGACCTGGAAGCTGACAGCTGAATTGCAACCTTCTTGGCAGCAGTGTGAGATGGGGAAAGATGCTGATTCCTAGGTTAGGGCATGGCTGTACCTATAACAGCTCATTTCTAGGTCCCCAAAGATCCTCTCAATTCTTCAGGTAAGCCAGGATTTGGGATTTCTATGCAAAGACAGCAAATCATTAAGAGAAACCCACTACACTTCCATGGTTCCTACAGGAATAGGAAAAGGCTTAGCATTTCAGCTTTTAAAAAACTTACTCCAAGCTGAACCTCAAAGATTCAAGAGTCCCAGGGATATTTACTGCTCCATGGGTGTCGCAAGTCCTTTGAGGAGGATGAAGTTCTGGAGCGTAGGATCTCTGATGGTGGCAGCAGTGTGATCCTCCTCGCCAAGCTGATGAGATAGAGAGCCTAGACTGCTCTGCTCTTCCCGCGAGTGCGCCACTGTTCCTCGCCTCTGAAGAGTGACCTCTATAAACCAGGAAAAGGCATGCTGTCAAGAAGCCAAGGGATGGGACAGTCCTAAGGGTTTGGCTCCTCTTCATGTGACAGGGAAATAATGTTATGTGACAAACTGAGAGAAGGTATCATTGCCTAAGGCGACCTCAACTATGCACTTGCCAAGCACCAGGCACATTGCAGCAGTGACTCTTGCTTGCTTCTCTCAAGGGGTGGGTTTCCTTAGCCCTTAGCAGCAGTTCTGCAGCGCCCTGGCGAGGCGACCCCCTCCAACTCTTCTGCCTGATTTCCTCTTGCTGTCGGGTGAGACTGATCTTTTGCTGTGCACTGGGCTTCCCCCAGTGGATCCCAGGTGTTTTTTTATAAAAGGTTTAGACAAGCCAGTTCCTTTGGTTCTGACCCGGGCATGAATTCTTTGGCATTACTGAGCAGGCAGTCCCTTTTTATTTATTAGTATTTATTTGGTTTGATTCCTGAATGCAAGATGTATTTATTCTGGATCTGGTGCCAATACATTCACCAAAGTAACATGGGACAAGACAATGCAAGAGATGACAACAGAGCAAGGAAAATATAAATATCGGCCAAGTAATTACAGTCAGCTTCATGATTAAAAAACAATAACCTTGCAATGAAGCCCTGACTAGAGTCTTCCCAATGACTTCAATGGGGTTTGGAAACATGTGGACTGTCAAGGGATCAAAACCACACCAAGTGAAATCATGCCTCATCTGATATCAGTGCAAAAATCCCTTGGATTTCAGTGGAGCCAGGAGTTTATCCATTCACTTAGCAGTGTGCCCCACTTACCACGCCTGTATTGGTATTCCCGAGCACCCTCATGCCTGCTGCCTCTAGACACGTATGCACACTCATTTTAGGTACTGATGCCAGGGGTATGTGGTACAGAAGGACAGAGACAGCACTTCAAGGATGTCCTCAAGGCCAGCTTGAAAAAATGCAGAGTGCAAATTAAGGGGAAGCTCAGGGGGAACACATAAGAGATGGGAGCCCCCCTGTAAGATTTGACAATCATAACCTAGGCGTGTCTCCGATTGGATTGCTCCTTTGCTTAGATGGACTTGGTAATCAATGAACCAGTTCAATTTTTTTTGCAGACCCCTGCAAGAGTCAAAGCGTAATTCATACCCTGGTAACATGGACATCAACTAACTCATGGGAGATGACTATTGCCCAGGACTGCTCCAAATGGAGAAAGAGTCTGCTGCAAGGATCTCAGTACTTTGAAACCTTACCATGACAACAGGAGACAGACAAATGTGAGAAACGGCGTGTCATAGACTGAATCAAGAATCCAGAGCCACCCACCTTGCATGGAAACCGGTGACTTAGTAGCAACAGAGTCTATCGCTCCTGGATTGGCCTCGTCAGCCATCTTTGGGCCCACAGGTAAAGCAGTCATGGAAGACAATCATCCTCGACTGCGAGGGATTGCTGATATGCGGGACAATGGCTGACGACATCAATAGAGAATTATAGGCCCTGCTGTAGAGGGGGGCTGAGGAGTGTCAGAGGGGGGGAGCTGGAAGGACGGGGGTTGATGACCAGAGGAGAGGTGCGGGAAAGAGGTTGCTGGATAGAAGAGAGAGCTAGAAATGTTCAGTGTGATTCTTCTCCTTGCTGAGTCCAATGGACAGTGTTGGAGATGGTGTGCACTGCCTATCTTTGCACCCTCCAGCCCCCTCTGGGTTGTGAGCACAGTAGAGCCTGGATAGTTCTTGGTGCAAAGTCCTGTAGCTCTCACAAAGATGAGGGTTTGCCAACCAGCTGGGTGTCATATACAGCCGCAAGAAACACCTATGCGGGGCTGCTAATGTACTTCGACCTTTTGCTATAGGTCTGTAGAAAGGAAAGGGCAGTGCTGCTGGGTGACTCGGCTGCCCCTCTCCCTCAGAAGCTGCTGGCATTGCTGGTAGTGTCCATGCCCGAGACTTTAGCCTGGAGCTATTCCAAGACTCAGGAAGCATTTCTCAGGGTCTTGTGTGATCTCTTGTATTTGCAGCTGGTGGGCTCTACGGGAGCTGCTCTGGCTGCAGCAGTGCCGTGACACCCTGGTCTGTCTCTTCCTCAGGTTTCTGCAGACATGTGGAAACTTTGGCAATCACGGCAGTTGGTGGTGAGCCCTACGAGCCCTGTGCCCCATCCATCACTCACTACCACTGGTGGGCAGAGCAGGTGGCACCTGCCAGCACAGCAACAGCAGCCATGCTAAAGACTGCGGGAGCGGCTTAAGTCATCTGCTTTGAGCCTGTATGCTGGACATACCAAAATATGGACTTAGATGGATCCAAGTACAGACTGGAGATATTGCTGAGATTGTGGAAATATTTTGATGTCAAGCAAACAGCTGGGATTCAGAAAACAGGGCCAGCAGATCAGTTGTGTGCACTGGTCCTCTTAGCAACGTATCCTGGCACCTCTCAGTCATCGGCACATTTTTCCTTACAGCTCACAACAGCCCTGTGACGTAGGCCACTGCCAGGATCCTTGCCGTACAAAGGCTGGAACGTGGCACAGAGACTAAGTGAATTGTCTAGATTATACAGTAAGTCTGTGACAGCAGGGGATAGAAACTGTCACCTGAGCTTGGCAGCTTGAACACTAGGTTGTCCTCTCTTCCTACACTGAGTTAGATCCAACACATGTGTGATCTGGGCTTTATGCAGCTCTGCCTGTCTTGACCTTTCCACACCTGCGTTGGCTAGACAAACACCTTGCCAGGGTCATTTGACCCCAGTACTCTTTCCTGCCCATGGCAGGGGGTCGGACTTGATGATCTGCTCAGGTCCTTTCCAACCCGACTAACTATGAAACTATGAAACAAAGGCCCAGGGACAGGACATTGCTGGACACAAGCTTTGTCCCTGAAAAGCTCTCTCCACTCTTTTGCAGTTTTGACCACTGCCTATTTGCAAGTGCCCTGGCTGTGGAGGGACTGGGAGCTAAAGTTATGCAGGGGGGAACAGATCACTTAGTTGCACAGTGATGGCTGTTCCCCATGGAAAACCCCTGGAGTGCAGTCCAGCCAGGAATAACACTGAGGCATGGAAAGTGCTGACTTCCTTTCTCTTTTAGACTCTGAAAAATGGAAGGCAAGGCTATGGTGTTATCCACACCCCCAGCTGCTCTATGTTGGAAAGGCTTCCTAAGTGGTCAAGTTCATCTTATTCTCTTTCAGGGTCAGGTAGGTACAACCTAAGCTGTATATTGCAAAAGCCCTGACGAGTAGGATAGTCCCTTTGTACCAGGTGTTGCACGAACATTTTGTTTCCCATGTGTGACTATTTGTGTGTTCAGGTGAAATGCAGAAAAGGCTGAGTTCTTTGGTCTCTGAGATGACTGACGCATTTCATTATCAGTGTCAGTGTGGGAAACTCCACTCCAGCACTGCCCCTGTGTGTGGGAGCCTCTACGGCCATGCCCCGAGACCCTGGCAGTGTGTCTGTCTGCATGCGGGAATGCCCTCCTGGCAGACTCCTGACCAGATTCTTACTGGGGAGAGAAGATACAGTGGCGGTGTGAGCATTTACATAGGTGAGGGGTCTCGATGCAGAGATGGAGGTATTTCAGTGGTGAGTGCAGTGAACCTTATATACAGATCTGAATGTTGTGGCTCTGGCTCCTATGCAGAGCAAAAGGGCTTCCCTGTATCATGGGAGTTTCAATTTCTGTATCCAACCCTCCACATGCTTCCTCTTGATCTCCCTCTTCTCCGTCCCTTGGCCTGGATGTCAGAGAAGTGGAGGGCCTGAGCCACAGAGAGTCGGCATGCGACCAGCAGCGCATCCACTCCCAACTTTCTACTTCGGTTGGTTACTCGTACTAAAGAGAGAGAGGAGACTGGTGTATTTTTCAGTCTTCCGGGAAACACTGAAGGGCTTTCAGCTGCAATCCCTTTATTTTTATCCCAACAGGAAGCCAAAACAAGTAGGAAAGGCAGGAAAAGCTGAGAAACAAAAGCTTGTGCCCCTCCAGGGAGGGTGAGTTATGCATATTGGTGATATCCGACTACAAGAGGGGCTATATTAGACATGATTCCCAGGGAAGGCTCCTGGTCTGGGCTGAAAGGATGGCTCCAAAGAGAATCCTTTGCTGGGTCCAGACTCAGGTCTTCCTTGTTTAAATTTCTCCCTTAGAAATTAACAAAACCAATCACCAGCTACAAAGCAGCCTGTCTCCTACTCCTCCTCAGCAGGTGAGTTTCTTTCCTCCGCACTTCTTACTTGGATAGAAGAGGTAGGACCCCTTGTAAGTGCTCAGAGTGCGCTTGAAGCATAAGGCAGCCGCCCGGTCACAATCGCAAAATTCTCTTTTGCAGGAGTTGGAGGCATCGACTAGAAGAAACAGACACATCATGATCTTTAGCAGCTCTGCTCACATGGCCATCATCACCTCTGTCACTGTGCAGGTCTGTGACCAGAGTCAGGCTTCCAGCATACACTGACTAGCAAGTGTTCCCGCAGAGGATTCAGATCTGTGGATCAGCTGCCACAAATGTACCTTGTGGTACAGAGCCGTAGGGGCACAGGCAACCCAGCTGGGTGGAGATCCCTGCTAATCCCAGTCCTAGCAGTTTAGGGATTGGGAACCACTCCTCTCTGACACAGGTGGAGCAAATCACTTGGAGTGGTGAACTGATTCTGCTCATTGGGTGTGTCTACACGTGCAAATAGTACGAATGAATATATACTCCAGCTCAATCTGAGTAGACTAATCCCAATGTCACTGTCTACATGTGTGTTTAAGCACAGTAATTTACTGTGCTGCTGGATACCACTTGTATCTGCCGGGACTAGCCAGCAGCGCAATAAATTAGTCTACTGTGCCCTAATTGCCATGCACATGTAGACAGTGACGATTTAATATTCAGCAAATAAGTTTGCTGTGCAATAAAGCATTGAGATGTAAATGTATGGAGCAAAGCTGACTCCTAGTGGAGCGGTAGCTTGACACTGCAATAGTTGTGGATGGCTGGTGGACATCTACATCTAATCTAATCTGAGGATCTGTCTATCATGGAGTTGGCAGCATGTAGTGTCACTTTATTAAGCAGCATCTGTCTTGTTCCTTTTGCAATACAATCCCCCCTACAGTCCACTTGCTGCTTTTGCTAGTCAGCTGCACAGCCCATGTAACTGAACTCCAGATGCATCACAACATCCTGCCCCCACGATAATGTAGCTCTGGACTCTCGCTTGCTCTTAACTGTCAAGCAAGAGTAGCAAGAAAAAGAGATACAAGAGGCCAAAACTGAGTCTCAGATTTCCTGGTGAACACATTCGTCGTTTCTACAAAACAGCATATGCACTTGTGTGTATAACTATGTGTACCTATCAGTCAGCTTAGCTCTTTATATTATATATCTGTTGCCAGGTATATATATCAGTGGGACAGACAGATGGAGAGACAGATAATGATTGGTTCTTGAATTTGGGATAGCACCTATACCCAATTATCAATGAGTCTGGGGGAAAAGGGGGACCCTCTGGCAATACTAGAGGCCAGGATGGTTTGAGCAACAGCATCCCTACGTAGCCAGCTGGCTTTCCTTTTCCATGTAGGTCAAGGACCGGTGTTAAATTAGTGCCTGCCATGCACGCAGCTTGCATTGAGCTCTGAACTGGCCAGAAACGATCAGCCATTAATTGCCAAGATCCTGTAAGTTTGATTGTCTATTAAAAAGCAGGTGGGCAATGCTGGAGCCCACATTGACTGCATGCTGTAAGTTGGACTACATTTAGTCTAGCCCTTGGAATAATTTCCCCACTTTTGGACCTTCCTGGCTTTGATCCAGTCAAAGAAACTGCAGTACAATTGGTCTATGGAAGAGAAAAATACTCACGGCAGGTGATGATTCTGTGATTATACGAAGTAGTTACAGGGTTTTTACACCCCCTTTGCTTAGCCCTCCTGTAGCAGCAGTCATGGGCATAGCAGCACCTTGAGGGAGAACCCACATTGCAGTCAGGCCCTGGTTACAAGGGCTGAGAATCCCCCCTGGATTATACACAGAAGAGAACGCCTATATTGGACTCTCCTTACCTGTGCAAACTCCCATTCATCTGGCCCCTGCTCCCCCTGACTGGGGTAGAAACTTATTTTAAGGAACTGTGCTTTGCCTGTTAAGGCAACATTAACTCCCAAGACAACCATAATTCACATGCCTTCCTACCCAGATACCTGCATACCCAAATATGCTGAGATGCTTGCTATTAGCAGAGCAAACCTTTATTCAGTGCCATCTTATACTTATAATGATGAACATATAAAGGGTTTTACACAAATACACGCCTTAACTCCCATCAAGACCAATCCTTTTCTGGTGGACTTTCCCAGACTGCCAGGAAAGCATCCATTTTGCTAAAGACAGAGTTACATTTGTGTGCTTGAATAGGACTGTGAATTACCAGGACTTGCAGACTGCAGCCCGCACTAGATAATAATGGACCATTACAAAATAATCTGCATACCTTCCTGACACTAGGTATGTGATAGTCATCTCATGTTGACTATATGTTGTCTGTAGCCACTTAAAATGATGGTGCTCCTGGTACTACTCACCTATCAGTAGCATCCACTGGAGTTCCCTTTCCACCTAGTCCACAGAAACATCCATACCCATTATAGGAAAGTAAGGCATTTTTCCCAGTTGTGGCTTTGATCATTTCCTCAAATTGGCTGGCATCCCCATGCGCCAGAACCACATCTTCAAAAGAACAAAGGGGAATAGTAAATTCAGCAGCAAGGGGAAACAGTCCCTGGAAAGGATTGAGGCTGATGTTCAAAACAGAATTACAGAGAAATTATCAAGTTTAAAAATTGCCCCCAAGCAGCAGCACAAGGTGTGTTTAATTACCAACAAACACAAGCTTCATCCATCTGTTTTCTCTTCACTTTTCTCCCAGGACATGAGTTCAAGACTCTCCTAGTAGCTGTTGTTGATAGCATATAAAATAAACAGCTTGGTGCTCTGTTTTAAGTGCATGTGATAGGGCTGGAGTAGTGTTGTAGCTGCGATGGTCCAGGAAATGTGATGTTATCGATGGTTGCAGGGGAAACAGAAAACCCTGAACTCAAGAATTGGCTGTGAAAGGGAATTTACTACTTTCCCTGGATATTTATTGTAATAACTCTACAAGCCATTAAGTTCTTCATGACAATTTTGAGCAAAAGCTTTGCCCCTCTCTGGGAATTTTCCAGAGGCATGAGTATAGACTGGAGAGCCATGAAGGTTGACACTAGCTCTGCCGTATGGGCCTCATGTCAGTATTGAGTGCCCACAGCTCCCGCTGAATTTAATTGCAGTTACGGGTGCTCAGCATTTGTTTAAATCAACCCCACAACCTCTGCCTTAGTTTCAACATCTGTAAAATGGGAACAATCATGCGGCTTTACCTCCTAAAATGTAGAAAATATGATAAATTTGAGCTCTAACACAAATAGTTATTATTTTGTCTTAAAAAAAGATATCATGGGTGGAATAAAGTGAATCCCTGGGCTACAAGTATTTGGGAGCTTAATGGCCTCATTCTACATTCCCTTAGAAAAGAGTTTTCTGTACTTACAGCAGATGAGGAACACAGCAACTAGCAAGAGACTTTTCATTGCCATGTCAGTCCTGAGGACAGACCACACACAGACCTAGACTGTCTCTTCAAAGTTGTACCTGAACTGAATCCTTAACCTGGGCGTTAAATATGATTTTGGGGAAGTTTGTTATTACGCTGAAAACTCATAAAAAATGCTTTCAACCAAGCAAGCAAATAGAGATATCAACTGAAACATCTGAGCATTGGGGAAGGGAAAGAAAATATTTATTTAGACTTGCTTGAAGGATATCGCTGACTTTGAACATGTCTAGGCTTCTGCAATGTTTTGATCTGACACATATGTTCAGTGTAATTCATTTGCTGATAAGCAATATTCCCTCATATATTTTTAATGCGTAGGGATCCTTTGATGTTTTTCTGTTCGCTGGGCCAAGAGCCCTGCTATTGATTATGTACGGTCTCTGTCTTGTTTCTTTTATAACCAGCCCGGTTTTAATTCTGTGATCTATATTTATTCGTGGGGAAAGCATTTGGTTAACAGGAGAGGTATACAAAGGAGAAAGAAGTTCAAAGATATCAAAATGTCAATACAGAACAGATGGGTTTTGGACAGCAAAGGTGTAAAACCTAATGAGTCAGGTGTGCTTTGTAGTTGAACAGTGTAAAAAGATACAACCTTAAGCATATACAAGGAACTCTTTGAGTCCCCTTGACAGACCAAACAATGCAAACCAGAAGAAAGCTAAATGATTAGACAACTTGCTGGCATGTATCAGAAATGAATCATTTTAAAGAGACAGACAAGTAACTTTACGTCTCCAAATTCAGGGTCTCTTAAGGGGGTTTGCCCAAGCTAATACATTTGATTTTTTTCATGATACTGATATTAATCATGAATAACTCCAATGAAGACAGCAGAATTACACCAACCTAAAACTGGCATAAGTGAAAGGAGAATTAGACCATAATCTTATGCTGACACCCTGATCCAGATTAACTAGCATTTTACTCCCACTGAATTGTATGGGTAGCCTTGCTTAGGGTCAAGAAGGGCCACAGCACTAGGTCCTTTCTATTCATTCAGGGCTACATCTGCAGAGGTGCTAGAGCATCACAACGCTGGGCACTGCAGCTTCTAGTAGCATTACGGCTTGGTGGAATTTAGGGCCTTGAGTTGGGCATCTAGGTCGGCTGGGGGCAATTCCTGTCACCTGAGAAAGGGACCAGGATGCTAAGCTAGTCAAACGGAAATACCCTGTCCCCTCTGGGATTTAGGGGCCTGTCTCCCCTCAGTCTGACGTGTGTGCTCAAGTGCGGTGCCTTCATTCCCTTTGCCACAAGACATGCCTAGAGGAGGCTGCGTCCATGCCCAGCATTTGATGCAGTAGCTCAGTGGTTAGCATACACCAAGGCTGCGGGAAGCTTGCACCAGTTCCCTTCTCAGACGGCCAGGATTTGAACCTGCGTCTCCCATATGAATGCTCCAGCCAGGTTTCCACTTTGCACGGAATAATATTCACGAGTCAGAGAAGGAACAACTCTACAGTCAAGTGGTTTGGCCAGTCATCTGGAGGGTGGGGATATCCATGCTCCAGTCCCTACTCCAATGACAGCTAATGCATTTTCTATTAAGTATGCATTGGAACAAGGGCTTGAAGGCAGGTCTCTGTGCTCTCAGGTGCCCTCACAACTAGGTTATGGGGCCACGCTCGCTCTCCATCTCAATGAATATTTAATTGGGCCACGTGAAGTGGAACAGCTTCACCGGCATCTAAGAGAGCACTCGGAGAATCCCCTGCAGCCGGCAGGCAGGAGAGGCAGCTTGACATCCTCCCAAGCTGATGACGAAATTCTCCGCGGCTTTCCCACAGCCTGGGCTGCTGCTTCTAGCTGTTGGACACCAGCAACATCGCTACTGCTGTGTCCCGGGCCCGGCCTGGTAGGACGCAGACCCAAGCGCCCATTTTTTTACAGCGAGGGCTGTTGCCAGAAGACGCTTCTGGGGCTGCTGGACCTTAAGTGGAAAACTGGGCTGTCACCGGCGATTCCATTTCTTCATCCAACAGCCCGCACATCACACTACAACGCCACCGTCTGTCAGCGCCCAGAGACCTGCATGCGGTTGAGGACATAGATTGAGATCATAGAAAATTCAGGTGTGAAGGGACCTTGGGAGGTCACATCTAGTCCAGCCCCCTGCTCCATGCAGGACCAGCCCCAGCTACATCGTCCCAGCCAAGGCTTTGTCTACCCAGGTCTTAAACACCTCCATGATTGGAGACTCCCTGCGTAGCCTGACTTGTGCCTGTGTGGTAGTGGCAGGGGAGCCTGAAGGAGCCAAGGCCACCAGAGTGCCCCATGTTTCACACCTTTGCGGTGCCTACATGACCCTTTTGCTGCGCCTACATGACCTTTGCTGCGCCTACATGACCTTTGCGATGCCTACATGACCTTTGCGATGCCTACATGTCCTTTGCTGCGCCTACATGACCTTTGCGGCGCCGATGTGACTTCTGCTGCGCTGACATGACCTTTGCTGCACCTACATGTAGGCGAGCCTCCATTAGGGCACCACTGGCAACACAACGGCTGATTTGGCGGGGGGACAACTGAGAGGACAGGGCAGGAGGGCCGCTCAAGGGGATCCAGTGGGTGCTGCCTCCATCCTGCTCAGAGAGGGCAGGCGTGGGGCCATGGTGCTTGTGCATGTATGCCCTGGAGGACTGGGGCAACACTCTAGCCAGCCACCCCAGACTCCATAGTGCTGGGGGCTACCCCCCTCCACTCTATAGTGCTGGGGTCGGCACTCTAGCCAACCACCCCCTGCTCTATAGTGCTGGGGGCGACGCTCTAGCCCGCCCCACCTCGCTGCACTCAGGGTCGGAGCGGCGCAGGCTCCTTCCTTCCGGTCAGTGGCGGAAGTGTCTGGCGGGCGGGGCTGGTTGCCGCGGCAACGCGGGGCTGTTTACGAGCGGCCCGGGGCGGGCGCGCAGGTGAGCCTCACGCAGCGGGAGCCTCATCCTGCCTCTGGGCCGGGGTCCGCGGTGGGGATGAACCCCGCGGTGGGCCAAGCAGCCAGTGGGCGTCGTTGCCTTTGCCCCCTGCCGTGAGGGCCCGCGGGCGGGTCCCCATTGACCTAAGCAGGAGGCCCACGCGCGTCTGTGTCTATTCCAGCGCCGGTTCGGTGGATGAAGGCGGAGGGCCGTCCTGCGCGCTTGAGAGGAGGCGCCGGAGCATGAAGGTGGGTGACACGGCGGGGGCGGGGGGCACGTCCACGTCCATGTCCACCATACGCCGCCGGCGCTTGGTTTCGGGGCGGGCAGGGGGGTTCCCAGTCCGGCTCCACAGAAAGCTGGTTGTTTCTTCCTCCGCCAAACCACGTTATCCTGGCTCGGAGCTGCCGGGTCACCCCCCACGTACGGCCCATTCGTCTTCTGTCAGCACTGTTGGCTTTGGGGCCGTTGGCGGGGCAAATTGAACCCCCGCGCGGCGAAGGCTCGGACCGGTCGACGATCTTCAGCAAAAGGCCCGTGCGGCCGCGCGTAGAAAGCCGACGAGCTTTTGAGTCGTCGCTCGAAGAAGGCTTCGGCGTACCGAGACGTCCACAGCGGCTCCAAGGATTTAAAAGAAGAGACTTGTAAAAGTGCAGCTGATTTCGCCTCAAAGTCCCAAACTGGAGACGTTCGGCTGCAGGGAAGAACCAGCAACGAATCGCTGCTACCTTCGATTCGTGCCTAACGCTGGAATAAAGTGCGTTGTTTATAATTTCCACTCGAGCCTTTTTCAAACGGACAAGAATGGTTTGTCTAACTGGTTTTAGATCAGTTTTAAAGGAGCTTTCAAACCCTGTGCAACCTCAGGAGACAAGTGCAAAACTGATTTGGAAGTCCCTCCGCAGACGGGTTTGCAATTTAGTCTTAGGAGATTTCTTGTGAATATCCTCCGTCTTATGCACCGGGCATGCAACCTGTCTTCCTCCAAATACCTCCTTTCTCCCTGCTTTCTGCTGCTGAAATCTGCCCTTGTGCCGTTTCGTTTTCGCTTTTCTTGCCCACTTCTAGGATTTATCAGCTATATAATAGAGGGCTCGTTACTTTTATTTGCTTAATATTCATTTCTCCTGTACTCCTCTCCTTTTTGTTTTCTTCTTTCTGTGATTTCGGGCTTGATCCTGGAAACACTTCCTAAAGGCAGCAGCAGGCATACGTATGCTCTGGTGGCTGTGTATTATGTACCTCTTCAGTTGAAGTTTGGTCTCAAGTTTTCTGGTTCAGGCCCCGTGTTGGCCCAGTGGTGGTTGCCTCACTTGCTACTATACAAAGTCGCCCATGAAGTCGCTCTCTTGATGCGACTGGGAGCCACTAAG